ACGCTGTGAATCACTGTTTACTTCAAGAGATTTCTCCCTTTAATCATACAAAAGAATGAATTGGTATGTCCATGGCAAACGGTATTAGCTAAACTCCACCACCTGCACAGTCAGCTCCCCAATAACGGATACAGTAAAGGAAGAAAATACACTTCACTCTTTGGGATTTGGCAAAAACACATCTTTGTCTTCATTTCACAGAATCATAATGAACTAATTAGAAATGTTTTCATCCTATTTATGGAAGCATTAAATAACAATAGCTTTAACGTGCCTGACCTAAATGAGAGAGGTTAAGCCTGTGAGAGATGCACGGGACAATGTTGCCAGAAGTCTGTTTGTCCTCGTTTCAGCTGAGACAGGGTTAACTTTCTTCGTAATAGCTAGCGTGAGGCTTCCCCTTTCACAGACTGTGCAAACCATTTCCAGTAAAAATGCCAGCTCCTCCTCTGCAATTGTGGAAGCCCTTAGTTTCCCCATCTGAAATGACAGCAATGTGGGCCTTTGGGCCCAAATCCTGCAATGACATAGCAAGTGTTCACACAAAGATCCCATTCACGTTTATGGGACTCAAATGCCAGTTTATATGCTCAGATCCTATCTACTGACATTCTGCTTGACTTAATCCAAATTGTTTCTATGCTCTTAACTTTTCTCAACAGCAGCAGAGAGGAACATCAGCTTCACTTGCATACATAGTATACTAGAGATTTGTTAAGCTATACTCCTTGACATCACACCCAGGAGAATGATGTAGTCTACAGAGATTAAAACGGGGTTCTCAAAAAATTTCAAATATAGAATAGGCCGATTACAAGTAAGCCAGATCAGAGTGTGCTCAACAAAGGACCAAAGATTTCCTCCTTTACTCTACTTTGAAGTTTTCATGCTATTTAGGTAAACTACAGTGCAATTTGTGTGGTACTGAGCCACCTAGTGGTTACTTTCAAAAAATAAAGGGCTCTTGGTTTCAGAAATATAAATCAACAGGTTGGATGTATGAAGAGATCAGATAACACAAACGACACAACGGTAGAAAGGAATACATCAGCACCACTTCCAGTTTGCTCTGTATCCCAAATACAAAACTGGACATCCTCCAAAGACAACCAACTGCCCCAATTTATAGATGTTCTGCCAATGACATTTGACCAACAGGTCTTTTCATGACATAAGAGTCACTAAGGTTGCAACCCGCACCAATCAATGCTTTTGCTAAATCGTCAGTCAATAGTCATGACACTAGTTTATTTCAGGGGCAGGGGGTGGGGCACTGAAGATAAGGCAAGTAACAGAAGAGACTGAAGAATATGTTTATCACTATTATAGAAACGTGGTTTGCAGATCAGTAGAGGTGCCATATATCACCAAGTCCATTCCTTGCCTTCCCACACAACCACATCATAACCATAATAAACTGTAACTTAAAACTAATTTAATTTCTTGGTTGGAACTCCTATGGAAGCATAAGCTGGGACCCAAGACTTTCCACTATTCTTTTAGTTACAGGATTTTATAACAAAATAAAAACCAAGAAAATGAGCTCTTGAAATCTGGTGCTTTTATTGAAGTTTTATAGTAACATACAAAATACGGAGTATTATCAAGATCCTTATAAAAATGAACAGAGACCCTAGAGCAAGTGCATAAGAAATATCAAAACATTTGCATTGATTATACAGGCTCCAAGGGAATTCTGTGTAACCATTGCAAAAAGGTACTCCTCAACAGTCTTCCCAGAAGTCTGTCTTCCTGTGACCTACTGCCCTTTGTCCTTGTTTTTTTTTTTTTTTTTTCCAAATAGTTGGAGATCTGTTACATAAGAACAGAAATATAGCTACCTACAAAGACCCTGCTGGATTAAAGCACAACTATGCTGTAGTTTTCACCCAAGACCGTAAGAAGGTAGTTCACTGAATAGCCCTGCTATTTGAGGAAAATTATTTGTTGAAGATAAGCCAAAGTCCAAATCAGCAGTATTGCAGATGCTGTCAGAATACACTTCTTTTTGTCGTTCCCTCCATTTCAATATTTCATCTGCCAGCTCGTCCAACTCCATCACAAGCACCTCTGTTTTTGCCAAAGCAGTGTCCTGAAGCAGAAAAGAGTTGGATTTAATCTCTATACATCCTGTCAATCTAGCAGGACATAAAAATAACCTAAACAACATTGAATTCTTAACGCTGAAGGAGACAGAAGGCTCAGTTCTTTTGCTACTCACCATATTCTTCATCATGTTCGGTATCTGAGGGATGCTTCTTAGAGTCTCCAAATGGCTTTCAAGTTTCTCAATGAAAGTCACAGCCTCCTTCAACAACTCTACTACATCCCTGTAACCAAGAATGAGTCCCCCACTCAAAAGCTGTGCAAAACAATGAAGATTTATTATTTCTAGGCTCTTTTCTTTCCCCAGGGGGTTTCCTTACTCCTCTTCTCCAGTTTTACGGAATGTCTTAACCATCTAATTTATTTCTCTGCAACTACACTTCTTCTTATGACTCTCAGCAACAAGTAGGGCATAAATTGCAGAAGTGAATATACACTACTTCAGTACCTAGACTAGATTTTTAGACCATGAGAAGACAGACCATATTTTTAAAACATGCCATATTTTTAAAACATGTATTATGTCTGTGAATCATTCACACACTTATTCTGAGCAAGTCACAGTGGAATGAAGACACCAAGCACTAAAGTAATAATTCCTACCTATGGAGAAGCATAATGAATCAAGCATTTAACACACCTGTTTAAAACAATACATCACAAACTGTTGTGTGATCTTCAGAAGACCAATAACCTAAGCAAATATTCATAGAGATACATGTCACTACCTTTCATGAATTCAGCAATGAGTAAACTACTAGCTCTTACCTGAGGTTCTGTGGGAACAAAGAACTGCTGGTTAGGAAAAATGTAAACTGACCTTCAGGTTAGAGAACGACTGTGGACAAGTGAGGCAGCACTGCAGAAAACCCTACTGCAAGCGTGAGAAGCAGCAGGTTCAAAACACCATGTAGTGGAAAACAGACAAAACCTGAAGGTCAGTAGAATGTAAAAACAAAACTGAGATTATGTAATCCTGGATGATAAATTGGGAGCCTGCAGACAGGACACTAGCATTTGCTCTCAGCAATGCTCCCCGTTCAGCAAACCGGAGTGCGTTTGGTGTGTTTCAGCGCACTGTCCTGATCCTGGCAGACCAGAGATCGGCAAGGTTCTGCTACCATTTTTCACTTCTATTCTTCTCAATGGAAAAGTGAATGAAAGCATGCCACTTCTACTGGCTATTAGTTAAAATTAATTTGGACTCAGGCAAACAAAGGACAATTGTTTTTTATATGCCTACTTGTGGAAAGTGGCCTCAATAGGCAGGCTCTCTTGACATCTGGGCTTCAGCAATCTCTTCCTAAAAGCCTCCTTCCATCTCAGTATGGCTTCCAAGTGTCTGCTCATACCTTGCAGAACCTCACATTTTTTGCCTATAAAATAAAATTGCAAAGTTGAAACTACTGTCCTGCTAAAAGAAGAGCAACATTTCTTATGGAGAAAGACAGAAAGAAAAAGTCTGAGCTACTGCACTGGACAGTTTACACTCCAGAAAGATACCATTAAATCAGAATGACCTGTGGGAGTGTATAGGCCTTAATTTTCAGCATGCACCTCAAAGTCACAATACCTCCTTTTTAGAGATATAGTTTTGTTAATTGCTTTACATTATTTATAGTTTTAAGTAAACTGTCTTTGAGACAAAACCAACTTCTTAAATTATACCACAGCACTGAAGTATGACAATATACTTCTCTAGCCTACCACAGTGGCAGCAAGCTAGAATGTTTTTAAGCATCCAATTGTAGCCGGAAAAGTGAAAAACAATAAAGAAATGAATACATATGCTCCCAAAATACTAAAATGAAAATCCAAATAATTTTAGGGGCATACAGATGCATAAGAAATACACTGAGATACTGGAAAAGCAGCAAAGTAGCACACAGGCTAAGGGAAGCAAATCATACTGCTGCTGATCTCAGAACTCCTGACGCTCCACTGACAACACACACAAGCACACACACACGCATAGGTACCCCCCGTCCCATGCACACCCCCCCTTTTTTTTGGTGGAGAATAAGTTACACAGGGACCTTCTACTGAGAGAGCAGAGGGTGCAAGTTCAAACAGTACAGAAGCATTCTTCAGGACCTAATAAAACACCTGCCACCTCTAACAAGCTAGCCAGTGGACACAGCTGCAATAACTTCTAGAAGTGTCACATACTCAGATGAAATGGTAATCTGCTGATGAACACTCTTGGTTTTTCTAAGACACAACTGCACTTACGTAAGTAAAAAGGGTGAGCAATGTCCGCTGTCTCCTTCTCCAACCGCAGAATTTCAATTTTCAGTTTTGTCTACAACAATAACACCATCAAATGAAATTGATTTTAACATACTTATCCAAATACTGTTGACTCTCTTGGGGTGGGAGAGGAAGTAGAAAGGGAGAAAGCAGGAGGAGGGAGGAGAGCGCTTGTGTGAAAGAGCAAGCATTTGCATGAGAGCATGTTACCATGCCTGTCTCAAGTGTTTCTACTACTAGGTGGGGCTTTTGTGGTCAAGAGGAAAAGATGGTTTAAAAAAACCTAAAGAATTTGGTGATTTATTGGGAATTTGTGCTGGAAAAGACAGATCCTGCAATTCATTCCTAAAACACAGAAACATCTAGAAAGCAGTTTCACAGTCTACATTCTACTAAAGAACCTCTCCAGCCTGAAGGCAACCATCCTGGCAAAAATCAGTTAGTGTTGTGTTGGGGGTTTTTTTCAGCTGTGGGAGGGGCTCTCTCAGGTGAGCCTCCTAGCTTTAATTCTTTCCAAAGATTAACCAGCACAAGGGTAGCAGTGACCTTGCTGCAGCTGGAAGAGCTGTGGTTGTTTTGGCTAGACAAGAGAACACTGAGGAGTACAGGAGAGGAAGACACATCAGTCTCTCAGGACATGCAGAGAACTGCTTTGCTTTTCTTGATGGCTGAAGAGAAGACAAAACTTTACTCATAGCATATTGAACTTTGTTAGACAGAGTACTTTGTATGTGAAACCTCAAGCAAAGGAGGCTAAGAAGATACCTTACTGGGAGCTGGAAACCGTTTGCTCCTTTTGCTGGTCAATAAAGGATGATGTCAGCTGTTTAACTCATTCTCCAAAAAAGTACATGATGAATTTGTCACACTGGTTTGCTGTAAGGCTTTGTAGCTGCTGGAGCTCACGTTGTGTCATTTAATAAACACACTTTTTGTACCAGTGAGCAAATGCTCAGGAAATCGTAAAATACCAGCTAACAGCCAGTCCAGGCCATAGGAAATAACTGAGGTTCTCTCTTGCTAATCAACAAAACCACCTAATTGCCTAGAAAGAAACACATTTTTTTGTGAATGTAAGTCAGCTATAAAGTCATATTTGTTTTTCAGTTTCTTCAGCAAACTTCACCTAACACTTTAGTCAAAGACACAAGCTTCTGAGTCCTTCCAGTTACACTGAAAGCTTTTGTTTCATCACTTTGTTCTTTTCTTTATAATAACTCAGTCCGCTGGGGAAGGAGTGCCAACTGTTAAACAGCTAAACTGCTCCAAAATCCCCAAAACATGAAACAATAGCACACTGCAGTCCAGCACCCACCAGGTGACATGTCTTTTCTCTAAGTACTGAGGTGTTGAGTGTATGCTGACAACAGTAAAGGCTGTACCTCATTGATTTCAGCTTGCAAGTTCCCAATTTCTTCCATCTCCAAGAACTTCCCAAAGCAAGGGTCTTCTCTGCGTGTCAAATCCAATGTCTCCTATGAAATGGAAACAACAGGAGAAAAGTGCAGCGAGCAGCAAGAACATATCAAACAAATTCTCCAGACTGGCTTTTCACAGTCTGAAGTCACGGCTGATCTCCTGCGCTGCGCAAGGCAGTACATTTCAGCTGAACAACTCGTCACACACGTGCGCTATTGGGGGAAAAGGAATAAAATTTCATAAAAGCCAGTATGAGAGCACTCTCAGCGCTACCGGCTCGTGTGCTGCAGAACACCCCCGGGGACACAAACCAACCCCAGGCTACGCTCCAGAAGAACACCAGCAGGTACTGTTATTCCTAGTCAGGAAAGCTGCCATCGCCCAAAAAAACCACAGGAGCTCCCACAAGAAAAGGAAAACTCCTCCGTTTTTCACATTAACGAGCATTTACGGACACAGTCACACCGTTTCGCGCTTCCCTCCGATCTCAGGCTGCACAGCGGCACCGCAGCGGACCAGGCCCTGCGGCACCGG